CCCCCCACCCCTTCCGCAGCCCTCGCTTTGGGGCTCCGTGGTTCTGTCTTGTGAAAACAGCCGGATCTTTCTGTCGTGGGCCCGCGGATGTGCCTTGCTGCAGTGCGAGGTTACTGCTGTGCGGTACCAGTAGCGCCGGGTTGATCTGAGCTCGTTGTTGGATGTCACCTCCGTGCCACTGCTTGTGCTGGTAACTCTCCTGGATCCAAACGCCCAGCCCTGCCCTCACATGACTACAAAACTTCACTGGTATGGGAAAAAACCTCAATGCCATGAAATGACATGATTATTTATGTGGCACTGATATTTTTCTTCCATCTCACTTCAACTATTGTTCCACTTTAGTTAGCTATAATTCACAGTATCCTATGGACTAAGCAACCTGAGATTTGTGCAAAGCAGGGGTCGAATGGAGTGCAAACCTTGGGACCTGTCTTATGATGAGGCATCCTTTATATCCTGTGGAGTTCAAGGAAGCTTTTGTAGTAGAAGCAAACTTTTCTGAAAAATTAAGAACTCATATTTAGATAATCTTTTCTATGCCCTTGGCTAATGCAGGATTTTTTTGTTTTTCTATTGTTTGTTTCTCACTACTTTCTCTTGTTTTTGTTATGGTGTCTGAAGGCTGAAGGGAAAACCATTTTGACTAATGAATGTAAACAAGCAGACAAAATGCTGTAGGTGAATGACACTAGACTTTAACTGCTGCTGACTTGATCTACCTGAAAAAAGGCTTAGACAACTAGTAATAAAGGGTTTTCTATAATAGCGGGCTCCGTCCACCTGTTCAGCACTCCTGCCTGCAAGCAGTGATTCAAGTTTTGTTCTGCCTTCATAGACTGAAAGTTCAGAACAGTTCACTTGTGATTCTGATTGTAGTTTGGCTTGTGCAGCATTGAAAGAAAAAAGCTCGGTTTAGAGTGTGCCCTCGGTTGTAGTTTTGTTGATAGTTTTAATCATCTCTCTGAATAAATCCACGTCTAAGTGATCATCACAATAGTACATAACAGTTGGCTCTGTGGTGAATGTTCTTACATCTTTAAATAAAAAAGTGGTATAAGTACATTTGAAAAGATGAGATGATGCAGTGGAAAATAACTGAAAGTTCTGAATGCCGACTTTGAAAGCTCTTTACAGATCAAACAATCGCCATACTGCTTAAAGGTAGATGGAGAGAACAAGGAGAATTGAGTTTATGAAGCACTTCTGCCTGTTTTCCTGCTGCCTTCTGTCTCCTAGGTCAGGGGTTCTCAACCTATTTTAGTGTAAGTACCACTGGCGGCCAGATGCCAGGTTCATAGATCCTACGGTTGGAAGGGACCTCAACAGATCATCAAATCTGACCCCCTGCCTAGGCAGGAAAGAGCGCTGGGGTCAGGTGACCCCAGCCAGATGCCTATCCAGCCTTCTCTTAAAGACCCCCAAAGTAGGGAAGAGCACCACCTCCCTTGGAAGCCCATTCCAAATTTTGGCCATCCTTACCATGATGAAGTTTTTCCTGATATCTAGCCTAAATCTGCTCTCTGTCAGTTTGTGACCATTGGTCCTTGTTACCTCAAGAGAAGCCCTGCTGCGTCACCTCTCAGCCTTCTCTTGTGGAGGCTGAAGAGGTCCAGGTCCCTAAGTCTCTCCTTATAGGGCTTGTCCTATAAGCCCCTAACCATACAAGTGGTCCTCCTCTGGACCCTCTTGATTCTATCAACATCCTTCTTGAAGTATGGCGCCCAAAACTGGACGCAGTACTCCCAACTGTGATCTGACCAATGCCTCATAGAAGGGAAGTATCACCTCCTTGGTTCTCTTTGTCATGCATCTACTGATGTATGATAACGTGTAGTTAGCTTTGCTGATGATTTTGTCTCACTAACGACTCATGTTCATCTTGGAGTCCACAGGGACTCCGAGATCCCTTTCCGCTTCTGTGCTGCTGAGAGGGTCACTTCCCAGCCAGTAGATATGCTGGATATTTTTGCGCCCTAGGTGCAGCACTCTGTACTTGTCCTTGTTGTACTGCATCCTATTGTGTACTGTCCATTTTTCTAATCTGTCCAGGTCTGCCTGCAATCATTCCCTACCCTCGAGAGTGTGCGTTTCACCCCACAATTTAGCATCATTTGCAGACTTGGATGTGGGCGTGAAGTGTACTCTGTCCAAGTCACTGATGAAGATATTGAAGAGTACAAAGGACCGAACCCTGTGGGACCCCACTATCTACGTCCTTCCAGGTTGATACTGTGGAAGAAATCAAACTTCGCATTGTGGTTGTATCAGAATTGACAGAGCTATCTTGGTTTATTTAGAGCTATACAAGTGATCACAAGGAGGGTTCTCAAAGGAACTGTGAACTCTATAAGTTTACAGGCGTATTTATACTTTAGACAGTGAGAAAAGATGCATGGTTCAGACAGAGCAACCTGGAAGAAACAGGAAGAAGTTGATCATTCGTTAGTCACACGTAGGCAGTTTGCTTATTCAGCAAACACATTGTGTTTTGGGAACAGCTATTAGTTTCTGGTTCCCGGAAAGGAGGAGGTTAACATCTTCACACGGAGATTAACATATCAAGACAAAATGAGACATGAAGGTATTTCCTTATCTTAGAACATTTTGAAACACATAGTATCAGTATCTTTTTCTCTTCTTTCTCTCTCTTTGTTTCTTCTCTTAGTCAAGTAAGGGACCTGGTTAAACTTATTTCCACAATACCAACCCATCTACTACCACTCTCTGGGTGCGACCGCTAAGCCAATTTGCCACCTACCGGACCATGTAAACATCTTTGTCACAGCCTTTTAACTTATGTATGAGAATAGGATGAGATGCCGTATTGAAGGCCTTGCTAAAGTCCAAGAAAACAACATCCACCCCTACTCCTGCGTCTAAGCATTTTGTGACCCTGTCATAAAACGAAACCAGATTGGTCAGGCATAATCTACCTGCTACAAATCCATGCTGGTTTCCCTGCTGCATTATTTTTCCTGCTGGACTCCCAAAAAAATGATCCTTCATGATCTTTTCAAAGACCTTTCCAAGGATGGAGGTGAGACTGACTGGCCTATAATTACTCGGATCCTCCTTCTTCCCCTGCTTGAAAATAGGGACCACATTGGCCCTTTTCCAGTCTTCTGGGACTGACCTGAGTGCTCAAACAGCCGTGCCAGTGGTTCTGCTATAACACTGGCCAATTCCTTCAATACCCTTGGATGCAGCTCATCCAGACCTGCTGTCTTGAACACATCCAGTCCATCCAGGTGACTCTGCTCCAAGTCAGCATTGACAGTTGGTAGGCTGGTGTCCCTGATGCCCAACTAAGAACCCATTAGGAGAGTTACCTTGAGCCCTGTTCAGGAACACTGAGGCAAAAAACTCATTGAATAGCTCAGCCTTGTCCCCCCTCTCTGTCACTAATTGCTCCTCCTTATTTAGTAGGGTTTCTATGCTATCCTGCACCTTCCTTTTACTCCTGACATACCTAACAAAAAGTCTTTTTTTTTTTTTTTTTTTTTTTTTTCTTTGCCAGCCTCAGCTCTGTAGTAACTTTGGCCTTTCTAACTGCCTCCCTGCAAGTGTGGGTCCTTGGTAGCTTGCCCCTGCTTCCACCGCCTATATGCCTTCCTTTTTGCCCTTAGGCTCTCCTGGACTTCCCTATTTAGCCAAGGAAGTTTTTTGGCTCCTTTCCCCCTTTTCTCTTGTATTAGGATAGTCTCCTTCTGTGCCCAAAGGATCACTTCTTTTAGGAGCGACCACCCTTCCTGGACTCCCATCACGCCAATACTCCTATTCTGCAGTGTGTCATTGACTAGACTGAAGTTCAGAACTTCCTAAGTTCTGAACTTCAGTCAGAACTTAGGACACTGAAGTTAAACTTCCTAAAGTCAAGCACTTCCACCCTACTAGCTAGCTTACCCACCCTATGCCGTATGGTGAATTTGATTGATTGGTGGTCACTGTCCCCAAGGTGACCACAAATCTGCAGCTCCCCTACCAGGTCTTCCCCCATAGCCAACACCAAGTCCAATAAGGCATTCCCCCTAGTGGGACCGTATACCTCTTGCGTTAGGCAAAGGTCCTACACGCAGGTTAAGAACCTATGTGAACGGTTGGATTTGGCTGACTGCTTTCCCAGCAGATGTCAGGGTAGTTTAGGTCCCCCGTGACAACCACTTCCCTAGACTACAGCTTCAGAGAGCTGCCTCAAGAATTCCAAGACTAGCTTTTCCTCTTGGTGTGGGGGTCTATAGGAGACCCCCACCACCAAGTCCCTTTCCCGTAGACCTCCGTGTATCCTAACCCACAATGCCTCAACTTTCTCTTCCTCTGATCCCATTTTGATTAGGGGTTAACACATGGCTGGACACCAAGAAGTGGGGCTAGCATGCAGCCAGATGCTGAG